TGAACCTTTGAACCCTTTGGTACCTACCAGCCTGCCCAACTGGGATGACTTTCAAACCTGGCACGTCCAAGACGTAATTTTAGATGTATCCTTCAGACACAGAAAACGGCGTGGCTGGGGAAGAAGAATCTTGCATGAATCTTAAAAATATATAACCCCTGGCAGTCCAGTCGACTAAATCAAATAAGGGTCCGACTACATGACCGATATCGAGGAATTAGCTTGACTGTATATTCATGCGTGCATGTGGCTATATCGTCTCTCAATCGGTCGAAGTCGAACAGGGCCAAATCATATTCAACCATGCCTCCAACCCTACACCTCCGTTTCTATCTCCGTTTCGAAGGGTGCTTCGTCTGAAGTGGTGGCCCGCTTGACCGGCTGTTCTTCCAAACTTCTTCCAAGTCTTGTCAGAGGCATTGGCCACAAACACTCGAACTGAAGAAGTCGACCCTTGCTATCCTTACAAGTCGACCATCCATGGGAATGGAACATTTATGTATATTTACATTCATTCACACCCCAAAAATTCAACCACCCCGACATACGTCAATTAAGTCATTTCTCACTTGGACAAACCCCTGGACCGCGGCCTCCGAACGGCCGCTCGAGCGGCCGCGTGTGGCGTGCCCGGCCGAGCGCGGCCGTTGTGCCAGGCCACTGCACCGCCCCAGAAGAGACAGGACCTCGTGCAGAAGCTCACCTCCTCGGTCGACGCAGGGGGTGTCGCAGTTGGACCGGGGCATCGCATCGGTTGGGAAGAAGGTGGCAGTGACCCGACCCAAGAACAGCATACATTAGTATACAGTATATACAAGTGCATTTATATAGATAGATAGATGTAGAATCAGAAGTGGTCTGTTAACTGTTAACTATTGTTGGATGACTCTCTACAAAAATAGTAATCAGTGATTGATTGGTAGCGACTATCCCACCTTCAGTGAATGATAGAAGTAGTCAAAATAGTTGGGTCAAGTGATTCCTGTATCAATACACCCTACAACAAGTCCAGTCTGACCCAGTACAGACCTGGTCTCTTACCTCCTTGAGTCGTGGCCAATTGCATGACCAACTCCATGCAGCTAGCAGGCTACCCATGCAGCCGGACTCTTAAAGCACACCAGGGCCGACTGAACAACCTCAGAAGCCCCGAGCGCACCGTGGGGAAGGGTGTCGCCGACGCTTTCATGGAGGGGTGCTTTCCACAACTGAAGCCCAGAAAACGAAGTAGAGAAATCCATAGAAACCCATATCCCTAAATACATGCTCGTCCGACCGAAGAAGCCACCTTTCGGTCTCCTTTGGACCCCACGGCCGATTCGCGCGCGATCATGCTGGGCGTCGGCATGGTCGATCTGCAGCGCCGGTTGCAGGATCCCGTTGGAGTCTGCCTAGTCAGGCGAGGCGAGCCATTTCGGAAGTCTCTGGAACAGGTGACAGCAATGCAAGTCAAAAACCTGGCAGCTTCCTGGTAAGAAGTGTGTCTTTTTGAGAGAGCTTGCCTACTTCAATTGCCAGCTTGCCTATTGTAATTGCCAAATGCTGAAAATCTTTGAATGGCAAATGATGGGAACACATCTCACTAAGCAGTGCAACCTGAAGGCTAAACCACTCCTGCAAGCAATCACCCGATGGTTGAAGTTTGATTGACGTGTCCTTCTTCCAACATCCGGGAATCAATACTGGATGCCCTCAAACGGCATGACAGAAATATAGACCTGTTAACACCACTCATTTCGAACATGTAAGACCTCTTCAGAACTTGCTTAGGCCTTTTAGGCCCCTTTCTTCGTGACAAAACGTCTGCAGTCTGGATGGGGACTGAACACCAGTCACGTCGACCCTAACCGATCGCGCGGGTCGAACGGTCTCAAGGTTCGGATGTTCTCAGCACCGCTGAGCGCTCGAGCGCTGGCCTCATAGAAGGCGGTGATGGTCACGCCGGGACGCCAGGCCGCTGGGAGCTTCAGGAGGAGTGGTTGGTCACCAGGAAAGACCTGAAAGACCTGCCGCGAGGAAAGCGAATCTGAGAGTTGTTTCAAAAGGATTTGCTGGTCCAGGAACCAAAGGATATTTCACCTTGGAAAATATATAATTATAGTAACCCAGCAGTCGCAAAGGGGAGCCTATGGGAGGATAGGGGTGCCCATGATCCACTCACTTAGGAAGAAAAAAAGCCCTTTGTGACTCCTGGATAATAAATCACCTTAAGCAAAACCAGGAAAGGAGCCAAAACGCTGAATCACAGATCTTCTGGCTGGTCGTGCCAACTGCTTTCGGGGGATTAACCGATTAACCAAATTGTGAACAAACCTGCTGATCGACCAAAAAGCTTGCCTCCTTCAGCGATTGCGAAGCAGTTCAGCAAATTTAACATTTTAGGAAACATATTGGCGGCAGCGATGTTGTTCCTGTCTGCAGGCTCGATTCCCAAACAATGCGGAAAGAGGTTTAAGAGTGATTTCAAAACATGAGCCATATGGATGATGACAGCACGGTGTATCCCTCATGTGGTGCCCCTCAACTCAACAGGCCAGTGTCAGGGCCGTCAAAAGAGAGGTACCATCCATCTCAAGCAATCTGCTGAGCGATGCGAACATCAACCCCGCGGCACGGTCAGTCAGCAGCCACGCTGACACTAACTGACAAATCCTTACAACTTAAACATAGGGTCGCCGGGCCAAGACCCATACAAGCCTGCATGGCCAAATTGGGCTATACTCGTATATGCTGCTGTAAATGGCCTTGCGCTTGCAACGCTGATGATCCCAGAATACCGCGAAAGAAGCCCTAACAATCCACATGCGGAGGAGTAAATACTTGCCGATCGGTTGAAGGCGACTTCAAAATGAGCCATGCTGAAAACCTTGATAGATTCCTACGTCGTAAGAACTGCCTTACGCGAAAACTTACGCAGCGCTTACGCGACCGCAGTTTCAGCTTACGCGGGGGTGTTGCTTACGCCGCTGCTTACGCCACCTTACGCCATTGCAGGCTTTGCTTACGCAGCATCGATATGACATAACCTGGAAATGTCTGGCTTACGCCAAAGCTTACGCAGAGCTTACGCGACCGCAGTTTTAGCTTACGCGGGGGGAGGTTTTCAGCGTGGCTCAAATGTTGCAAGGAGTTTTCAGAGTCAATGTAAACTTTACACGTCACCCATGACCCTTAAGCAACCGTTTAACAAACCAAAAACACGTCCCAGGGATGGTCTGGGACCCTGGGCGAACACCACCACGGGGCGTGTACCTTGGGTATATGGACCTAGAAGATCCTTTCCCCAAATCGGACGGATGCAGAACCTTTGGCCTCAGGTGCTTCTAGGTATACACCCGGGAACGATGATTGGAACCTGATGGACGCTTGGGCACGAAAAAAGGAGAACCTCAGATCTCTACCGGGTGTAGGTGTGTTCAGGTTTTCATGTTTTCATCTCAGGGCGTATAGGACATGGTCATTTTCCCCCTGAACCGGCACTCCCCGAAATGCCTGGCCTGGTGTGGTTGACAGGTCTCGGGCGGACGGACCAGGACGGAATGCACCACGCCCACCTGGCCAGGTCGAGTTGGCGTGCCGAGAAGGGGCAACAGTTGGGATCAACACTTGGTGTTTATCATACCCTCCAGTCAGGCCTTCTGAGAAGGTGGGACTGGGCTAGGTTGGGAGGGTCCAAAGACCTTCTGAGGAGGTACTTGGAGCCCTACAAATAGGCAAACCCTGGGAGTCCAGGATTAGAATTGTTGAAAGGCGCAAAATTCGTCAGCTGAAAGGGAAGGCTCCTATTGACATGGGTGAGCCACATGTGATCTTTGATAGCAGGGGTCTGTCTATACTTCAGTGACAGGATTGATCAAAGTATGTCAGAAAATGGTGCAATAGAGTTCACAAAGAAGTATCAAACTCTGAGAATGATCCCCTTCCAAAGAGCATTCTCTTCCCACTCCACCCTCGTCATACCCACCCCTCTCATTACTCAAATTTCACAGACTAATTGCCACTCCCAACACAAATCAACACTTGGGATCTCTAGTTCAACCATGTTAAACTTTAAACCAAGTCACTTCCGATTTTCCAGGAACCAAAAACACCGGCTCCCACCGGTCATCCCACCAACACCGGCGGCTCGCTGGGCCGCCTTCCCCAGCTGCTGGTCACTCAAGCTCCGCTGCAGCGACGCATCCGGTGACACCGAGAGGCCCATGGCGGCGCGGGGACGGCGCGCGCGGATCGTGACGTAGATGGATCTCAGGTTGGTTGGTTCCTGCAAAACTCGGAGCTGAGAGTGGATGATGAACAAACAAACCTGAGATCATCATGCATCATCCCTGAGAGTGGATGATGAAGAATGATCCAGGAGTCACAGAGCGAGTTTGGGTGGTGGTTTTCAGTCCCATCCAGTGAGTGGATGTTCTGGGCACCCCGACTTCCTCCAATAGGCACCCCGTCTTGTGACTGCTGGATGACATATTATTGTATAAACCCTAAGACTATCTAAAACTTCTTCTCCAAATCAAGAAGCGTGTCCAATGTGTTGGAGTTCGCAGCACAATGACATGTCGCACCGCGTTTTTTCCCAGCCAGTGCCAATATTTCCCAGCCAGTGCCAATACCTAGGACCTAGGAGCTCTGCGAACCAAGAGTCAGCAAATGCTTGTGGATGGACAACCCTGGACCTCCAAAAACACTCTCGACCTGCAGAGGACAAAAGCGGCGACTTCCATGCGATACCAGCTGACCTGCCCTTGGAGCCATGCCCAGCTCCATCTTGGTGCTTGGATACAGGAACTGAGGCCCTTCAAAGCATGACAGGTCGACTGTGACCAGCAAACCGTTGCAGCACTGGACTGCCATTTGGGATAGTTCCTGGTTGCCAAAGAGAGACGGTTCAAAACTATTTGACTGGATGTGTCCATCCCAAAGGCATCCAAAGGCAGACTTGAACAAACTTCCCATGCCTCTTTAATAGCTTCCCCAGGCTTTCTCACCACTTTTTCCTCCACATCCGCACTTGCCCGCGCCAGCGCTCGATTTTAGGCCCGTCCCGTGGTCGCGAGGATCTGCACGTGACGTCCATGGCAGAGTACTCCCACCAATCCCCGCAGCACCGTGGCGCTTCCCAAGCGCACTGGAAGGAAACCTGAAGCGGTTGAAACGTCGAGGGATCAGGGGCCGTCGGACGGGGCATGTGGCGACAGGGCGGACGGTAAGTGACGAAGGTACAGCCTGTGGCCCGGGAAGTCATCATCTTTCGGAGGTGATTCTATAAACGATTTCTCCTGGACATTTGGAAGGCCAGAAAAACGAGAGCCCCACAAGTCACCCCGCAGTAAGTGGAGTCCAAATGTCCCGCGCAACAACTTCTTCTGTGCCTTTGTTTGAACCCAATTCGGGGGCAAAGCAAAGGGGGAATCTGAAGGGGTGCCTGTAGGAATCCCAAGGGGGGTGCCTGGAGGAATCCCAAAAGGTGCCCTGTTTCACCCACTTTTCAATTTGCGCTTGCCGAAAGGTTTGAAGCCACAAAAGGATCGAATATATTAAAGCT